GCAAAGGAGGATGGAGCCTCTGGGTTCAACCAGCCATTCCCACTGGACCCACCTGGGAAAACACTCTGCAGTCCAGAGGGGAGCAAATGACAGGAAAATGTCTTCTAACAGAACAAGAAGGCAAGCAGCTTTAACCCAAGACCACCAGTAAGGTGATAAAGCGTCCTCCCTTTCCCGCTTCACATCAACGCGCCTGTTCAGCATGAAGAAGCCAGAGAGTCGGCATCCAGTTCTCAAATCAGTAAGACAGTTGATTTAACTACCATTGGAAAATGCTTGTCATTTTCCTGTAGCATCTGGTCCCCACTGGATCACTTTCATTTCTTTCACCTGCTCCCCCCACCAACCAATTTCTGCAGCTCTGCAACTGCATTCCTGCCCATCCTCACCCTTCTGCCCCCAACCCTCACCTCCTTGTACCCCCAATTTGTTTTTTCCCAATAAAAAAAATTAAAAAAAAAAAAAGCAACACATTAGAGCAGGGAAGAAACTAGTGCACCTGACTCTCACTCTAACACACACCACGATCCCATCTCCCCAGAGTCAGAAGAACCGGAATGTGCCAAGATGCCACTACTAAGTGGTCTGATTATGATAAAAGCTGATGGGTCCTGAGAGAATGGGCATAAACTGTGTAAAAGAACCAAAATTCTTTAAAAAACTAGACTTAACGGACAGTTTAGACTGGAAGATTCTTCAAGACTGTCTCCCTGATATTCTTGACAACTACAACCAAATTTATTCCATAAGGTCTTCTTTAAACAACAACAAAAAGCCACTGTCATTAAGGATATTCTGACTCAATATAACCCTGCAGGACAAAGCAGAACTAACTGACCAACAGGATTTACAGGCTGTGAATCTTAACAAAAGCATCTTTCTCCCAAGGGGCTAATGAGTTCAAATTTCCAACCTTGGAGTAGCATCTTAACCACTGTATCACTCATCCAATAAACTCAAAAGGGACCTCTGGTCACTTAATGGGTACTGTCAACTCAAAGGTTCATGGTTCAAATCCACCAACTACTCTACAGGAGAAAGATGAGCAACCTTCTTCTATGTGATCAATTTAGAGCCTCTGAAAATCCACTGGGGTGTCAAGAACAACAGCAGGCTCATAAAAGAAATTATATCAGACATGAGTACAATGTTCCTTTTAAAAAAATCATCCTATATGAGACCAAATGATGAACATTTCTTGGAAGGGGAAAAAATATGAGAAGGCAAAGGGGAAAGGAAACTAGAGTACTGGAAACGGACCCAGAACTATAATGAGAAAGGTGATATGGATATAATATAAAAAATGTAACCAACGTCATTAAATAAATTGTGTGGAATTTCTTAAGTGGAAATCTAATTTACTCAGTCAACTTCGCCAAAAACCCAGTAAAATATTTTAATTAAAAGAAACAAAATATCTGGCATGGAGTCAGAATCTAAAAATCAGTCAGAATCTAACAATATTAACAACAGCAACAACAACAACAACAAAATAGCACAACAGAAAAGTAGTCAAATGATCCCAAGAGAGATCTTCAGAAAAAAATAGAATAACCAATAAACAGATTGGTAACATAATTAGGAAGATGCAAACTAAAAGCACAATAAAACATGCTATCTGGCCACTAGACTGGCAACAATTGAGTCTGACAGTACAACTTCTGGTGAGTATTTAGAACAACTGGTATCATTATAAACTCTTATTGGGAGTGTAAATTCAAACAACCAATTTGGAAGATGATTTGTAATAACCCAGTTATGCTAAAGTGATAAATACTAATTTCCCAGGCAATTCTAATTCTCTCTCTTTGAACACATGCTTTGTTTCCTACACAAATACATGTACATCAATTTTTTTTATACAAGTGCATAGCTTTCCCCTACATGGATGCATCATTTACTTGACCATTTTCTCACTAACAGACTTCAGTTACTGACAAGTTGATTCTTCTCCTACTAGCACAAACTTGGTGAACATCAATTCACAAGCATAGGTCTCACTCAAACGTTTGTATGACTATTTCTGCCAAATTCTAAGACATGTTCCTAATAAAATGGCATTCCTGATCTGGGGCTAGCAATCTGGGGCTGACCACGGGTACTCACAGATACATAAGCAATAAGCAAGTCTGCAAATCCAGTGCACAGGCCATGGGGCAGAGCAATGCTAATTAGGGTCAAGGAACAGACCCCTGGGGCTGAGCACACAAAGGACTAAGGCTGAAGCCTTTCTGTGAAAATATCCACATGACTGCTAAGTAGATGGAGAGAGGAGATAAGTGTAGACTGCCAGTCTTTCTGCCCTCAAGCTGTCAGAGGTTCCCACCTGCATCCAAGCCAGGACAGCTCGCCTCAAAATAAAGGATCATATAGAGAAGCCAGGGTGAAACAGATGCAATATTATGCAAAGAAACAAAAGCATGGAATTAATTCAGAAGTAAGTGAACACAGGGAGATATGCAAAAGAATCTTCAAGGGAGCATTATTTAGATTAGGAAAAATGAAAAAGCCCAAATACACAGTGACATGAAAACTGATACATGCATATTCATGAAATTTAGTATTACACAGTAGTGAACAATGAACAAGCACCAGGAATGGCTATCAGTGTAAATGCACCAAATTGGGTAAAATCTTAAAGTTTTAGAAGAATAAATGTAGTAAGATTTAATTTATTTAAAGTTCAGAAAAAAAAGTATACTGTATTCTTCAGGGAGATCTGTGGGTAAGAAGTTGCACTGTCAATCCAAAGGGAGGTGGTTTAAATCCACCAGCTGCTCTACAAAAGATGGGTGATTGACTCCCATGTGATTTATAGCTTATCCTATAATCGCCTGCGTTGAATTCTGATATGATCACACATAACATGAGAAAAACTAGTTTAGGAGTTGCACTGCAACCCAAAGGCCACACCTTTGGAAAGATGGGTGGTCATCTCCTATTCAAAGTGTACTTGGGAATTGCTAGAGGGTCAGCTATGAGTGGAGACAATGAGAGAGAAGTCATTTATGCTGTCATTTTATCATTCTTGCTTGAATCATCAGATATCTAAATGATTGATTTCACGCTGTGGTTCCACCAGAGCATGGTACAACCGGTAAAGGGGGAAAATTAGAGTACTCCTAGAATTTGTAATGCCATATAAATCAGTGTTCCTCTCTGGATTGGCAATCAAGCGCTCAACTGAAGTGTCTGTGCCACTGAAGACTCTCAAATCAGTGTTCCTCTCAATAACCCTTTCTTATTTTAAATATGTGAACCGTTTAGAGAATAAGCAAAAGAGAACAATTAACAGCTATACTTGGCCCTTCCTGATGAACAACCATCAATTTTATGTCTATCTTATAGCTTCAGATTCAAATCAAGATGTTAAGATTATCCTAAGTGGAGTTTTATACATGCTATTGTGGTACTTTCAGCCTCCCACGTAATATGCCCTGCCCACACCACTCATGGCACTCCCTGCTAAATCAGAGCACGTCATACTGAGCAAGGAATGCTTAAACACCACTAGACAGGGTAACCTCTAAACTTCAGGTAAACTGCTAAAACGGAATACACATTCCAGGCACGGAAAAAAGATGTTCTCGAGGAGCTTCTGACAAGCATTTTCTAACACTTGCCCCCAAGTCCAGGCGCTTTCCTGATGTGTGCACACAGCTGGCTTCCTGCCCCTAAAGAAGCTTCCTGCACAGAGAGAAGCAGATGCTTTCTGCTCACGAAGCTGCATATTTCCCTCTAACAAGGTCCTGACTTTCTGCTTCTTGAACCTGAGTTCAATGGGCTTCTGGTATCTTGACCATCCTATGAATTTTTCTATCTAATTACTATGGAGACATCTTGCTTATTCCCCAAATTGTTCTGAGACAGCTGGTGCCTATGACCTCTGGGTGTTGCTTTTTGGGTTTGGTTTTTTTTTCCCCTTAAATAAAATGTTTACTTTACACTGGTTTGCTTACAAAGTTCATATTGATTATTTATCACACTGGATCATTTTCCCACTTCCTTTACCCACCCTTCCCAAGACCCATCAAATTGTGTGACCCGCCCATCCTCATCCCTCTGCTCCTACCTACCCCTCATTGGGACCTCATACACCTTTTACCAGTTATCTATTTCTATAGTAATGGTCTTATACAGTATTTGTCCTTATGGCACTGAGTTAGTTCACTTAGCATAGGGCTCTCCAGTACCTCTCAAGTTAAGTAGTAGTTTTCAAAATCATTGCTCCTGCATGCTGCATAGTATTCCACCGTGTGAATGTACAATTCTCAATCCACTGAATTGTGGTTGGAAATCTAAGCTCTTCCCATGTTCTTGCAATGGTGAGTAACGCTACGAACATTGGTGTACAAGTCTCCCTTTGTGTCTCAGTTCCCATTTTCTCAGGTTATATTGCAAGCAGTGGAATAACTGGGTCATATGAAATGTCTATGGTCAACTTTTCATGGAAACATCAGACAGCCTTCCAGAGTGGTTGTAATGATCTCTAGTTTTGCCCTCTGGCTCAGGGATTTGTAGTTTCTGGCTGACCCCCAGGTTACAGACCCTCTTGATCTGGGCGCTGCTTCTCACTTTCTTATTGGTCATGCCTTTGGCTCTAAGCCCCCGATTACTGGATCCCCCTTCTTTAAGATCTGACTCTGCCATGGCTCCACATGACTTCTGCTCTGACCAGCTCCTTCCTCTAACTCATTACAAGTCAGTCTTGCCTTGAAGGTCTGACAACTAAATATGACCTGAAAGAGCTATAGGGTGTAGTTCATAGTGTGTTGCACTAATCAAAAGGCTGCTTAATCCCCAGTAGTTTGAATCCAGCAGCAGTTCTGAGGGAGAAAAATGGGCAGTCTTCGAGATTCACAGCCAATGTAGGGTCACTAGGATTCAGAATTGACTGGACACAACGGCAGTCAATGAATGAATGAATGTGAGTGATAGGAGCTTGGTAACAATGTCATCAAATCAAAAGAGGAGGTGTACGGATTCACGTAAGCCTGTCTTTCCAGAGACAATAGAGATCCCCAACTAATCTGAAAATACAGCAGAACCTTTAAACAACATACAGTTTGCTTCTAATTCTCACCCGTTCCAAAAACTCAAGAGGACTGTACTTGGGTCCCAAGACAAAAATTTTCTTTCCTTTTCGAGCCACGCCACTGAACACTCGAGCAAACGCAACAAAAGACTCTTGTTGACTTCCTTCCTCAGTTACAGGTTTAGGGGTCACAGTCTCCACCTGCTGCCCATCACCTGTTGGAAACAAAGGGAGAATGAGGGCCAAGAATACACCTTCTAATCCAAGAACAGCCTGGAAACACAGAAGGAAGAGTAAGTATGATGCTTCTGGCCCAGTTTCAGGAAAGAACCCCCAAGAATAAAGGAAACCTGGTGAAAGCTATGATAAAAGCTAAACTCTCAAGAGGTAAAGAGTGCACCTCCAAGGGAAGGAAGACGCCAACCACCGCTCATCAGAGCCTGTTCAGGAAAGCTGTACCTCTCGGCTCCTCTCCTTCTGGATTTGCTTCAAGGGTGCTCCCATCCTGGGTGGGCTCCAGGGGGCCCTGGCTTTGTGCCATGGCCAGCTTCTCCGCGTGCCTCTGCCTCGCGCGCTCACGCCTCTGCATAATTTCTTCTTGAGTGAGAGGCCTACGGGATGTCACAGATATGTTAACACCTGGCAACACCGAGCTTTTCGTGGTCTGTTCAAGCAGGGAAATGTGTTGATGTGGCTGAAAAGTTAGAAATCAGCCTCAGCTGCATTACAGGCAGAGGGCTTCTTTACTAACTGTACTAACAGGAAAGAGGGTCCAGCTGCTTTCCCTGAGAATGCTTTCCTTCCCCCACACTGAGTTTATGAGCTGGCATGCGGGCTGACACCAAGTCACGTTAAAGCAGAATCACAGGAAACCTTTTTGAAATACCCATATTCCTTCAGGAGGAGTCAGAAAACAGAGCGAAGGAAGGGATCAAGTAAAAGACAGCAGGGCTGCAGACACCCTGCTGACAAACAAGCACAAGGCCTCAATAAGACATCGAAGTTTTCCTTTCAAGTACAAAAATGTATTATTATAGACAGCTGAAGTGCAAGGACTAAGAGTTCCAGGTCAAGCTGAGAACAATGGGCAATTAAACAGGACAAAAAGTCAAATTGATATTATGAGTAATAGTGTCAAGATCTAAGCAGTGCCACCACAGAAAAGGCAGTATGTTTACTGGAGGTTGAGAGGAACAGAGCAACTGAGGGGCTGTTATGTCTACTGGCAGAGAGGGCACGGGAGCTCTCTCACTAAAGGAGAAGCAATAAGGAGAATAAAAACATCCATCCATTCTCTTTGGGAGTTTGGGTTTGAGAGGTTATAAACCAGACAAACTGAAAGGGAAGGAAGGCCGCCTCGAAATTCTCATGAATTCTGCATGCTCAACCCAGCACAGGTGCTCTGTGGTTGGCTAAATCTGGGCGTCTTCAGCCTCATCCTCCAGAATGAACATCAGGACAACCTGGATACTGCTCCCCCCCCCCAACTTTGTGCTCCAACTCTGCAAGCTGGGCCACTGTGCTTGGTGCTCAACCTTCCTGCCTCTGTACCTTTTATCCTTCACTTCTGGCTCTGCGCTTTCTAACTTGGGACCTCGTTAATAACCTTGCGACATCATTTCCTCCTCCTGTTCTCTCCTTAAGTTTTGGAAATCATGCACATGGTCACTCTGAACAGGCATCACTCACCTGCATTCTAAATGGTCACATATTCTCAGAGCTCCTGATGCCTGGCACCCAAAAATCCTTTTATTTTTACTTCACATGAGATGTCCGGGCAAGTGACTGTCCAAGTCCTGTGTGTTCTCGACTACCCCCTTCAGATACCTATCTGCTGGCAAGCCTTATCAGCAAGACCTGTCACTAGAAATGTGTAAGTCTAGTTCCCTTCTAGTCACTCATTCACTAAAAGTAATAGGGTTGTGTGGTAAGACACAAAAATACAGGAACTAGGTCTTGAGAATTGATTGTTTACATGCCATTAGTCAAAGCTGCTGGCACTAGAAGGAGTAACTCCATGACCACTGCAAGAGACAAGTTCCTCCTTACAAAGAAGCTCCTTATGGATAAATACTGGGTCAAATGGCCTTCCTGCCAGGGCCATTGTTCCAAGCAATACACAACAAATCTATTTCCCTCCCCTGCCCACTCATCACGATAGATGATCTGGAATAAATTAGTATTATATCCATTAACATCAAATGCACAGAGCTATCGATGTATGTATTAATCTGCCTATTACATTAACACTGGTTCTGTTATGTGCCAGGTATTATATCTGGTGCTGGGAGCACAGAAGGAAACAGACGAAAGGGAAACCAGCAAGAATTTATGTGAAGTGTTTGCTGTGGACCGAGTATTTGTTGAAAACAAAGAATAATTTCTTTGTTAAGAGAGCAGGTCTTTACTAGTAAGGAAAGAGCAAGGAGAGGGATGCTCTTAGGTGACTGCTGAACTAACAAGACCACCTGCAGGAGAAAGAAGTTATCAGGAGTAGAGATGAAGGAGACCAGAAGTGTGACCATTATCTAGTGATTGAAAGGTAGGCTGGGGGGAGGTTGGGGGGTGTGAGGTTGGAGGAGAAAGAAAAGGCAAGAAAGCTGACATATATGTAGCTTATAGATTCTGACCAAAATACTCGTGCTCTGGACTATGTGAGTATGGTCAAGAGAAGCAGACAGACAGTGTCAGAGAAAGAGCTACATGGAGCTATGTACATCCAGTACCAGAGGTAAGCAGACTAGCAGGGATCGAAGATGAAGAGAAGCAAAAAATCAAGAATAAAGGTGGCATCTCTTTGAAGAAAGCACCTTGTTTCTAGATGGAGCTGGAAACAACAGCAAAAAAATAGACTCAGGAATTCAAGGAGGGAGCTACTGCCTAGAAATTGCAAAAAGAATGCTACTTACGAGAACGTGTTACCAGGTGAGAATTCAGTAAGAATTTCTCAAAGATAAGCAGCTGAGAAAAGCAAAAGCAGAGACCTAGAATTTCAAAGAGGCAGCCTGCCTGGGAGGCTACAAAGCCATTTATGTCATCTGAGGCCAGGGAACAACCTAAGACGTTGCTGCAGTAATTTCCACAAGATCACGGAGCTCTAACTCAGTGTAGGAAACAGTGGTGATGAAATGGGGCGGGGGAGGGAGCCTGTGATTAAGACAGACTGCAGAATAAACAGACTTCCCAGGACTCTGTAAATGCTTGAAAATGTGCAGTACAAGTAGACAGCAACAGATACCCACACTCGTCAATCTCTACTAGAGTAGAGAGAACCAGAGCAGATAAAGTAGGCTTAAACTGGAACCTGCCTGACAGGCTGCCATCTCTAAGGCATTTATTACTAGTCTATTTACTATGACTGTTCTTTAAACTTGTATGGGTGCAAATCAGCAGTCCTACGCTCAAAAGTATCAGCTTCTTCCAAGAGGGAGATCGTGTAAGAGCACTGTACCATACAAACTGTACATTACTCCAGAGAAATTCTCCCCTGAGGAATTCCGCATTAGCTACCATCTCCCCTTTCCACCCTTTGCCCATACATATTCCGTTTCTTTGGCCCAGCCCAGCCCAGCTTCCCCTTTAGCCTTACCTTGGCTTATTCTGAGGCAAACCCTTAGCATCAACTGCAAACATTTTGGAAACAAAGATAATAACAGGAGCAGTGTCTTCACTTCCACATCTCATAAAAGCTAAACAAACAAGGAAGCAAAATGTCACTATTTTCCCCCCCACGTTATAAAGAAGCCAGACTTTCTCGAAAATAATTATATGATGGTTAGAATAGGTAGGGCATTACCAAAATATGAAAGCTGTCCATACTCTTTTATAAATTAAAAAAAAATTCCTCCAATTTAAAAGTGTAACATTGCTAGAAGAGTGATAGTTAAGTAATAGCAAGCCCAGGTGACAGAAATGAAGAAAGAAAAGCAAAAACGTCCTATCACTCTAATGGGAGGTACAGGGCTAACCACCAACTAAACCATAAGTAAAACACAAATCTCTAATAACTTACATGGGGTGCTTGAAACTGTAAATTTTTATGGGGAATAGACAGCCTATTCTTTTCCCAAAGCAACTGGTAGATTAAAATCATAAACCCTTTGGCTGGCAAACTTGTAACACATTATTCCATGAGAAAGGAAAAATACCCACTATTTTCTTATTAAATTCTTCCTTTATCCACAGTAGAATTAGGGGACATTATTAAGGGTCAGTAGGGCACTCTGATGACCCAGTGGTAAAAATCTGCACTGCAATCCTGAAGGCATACAGTTCTATTTCACCAGCTGCTCCCTCTGAAAGATGAGCAAGCTCTTCTTGTGTGATTTACTGCCCCTGAAAATCCACTGGGGCATCAGCCATGAGTTGGTTCCAATTTGACAGTATTCAACAACAATATTCAAGGGTCAACAGTCAGAAAAGCAGTTTACCAGTAATATAAAAATCAACAGTTTTTCCATTCTACTGCTAAAACAATTTAGAAAATAAACACAAATCCTTATTTATTATAGTAACAAACCCTACAAAAATAAATCAAGATTCAATACTATAATTTTCCCTAAATCTATAAACAATTTCAGATCACTTTACTGACATTCCCCACCCATTCCCAACCAGAACCACATTCAACACCAGAGGTGGGGGGTATTTTTTTTTTTTAATATCTCATTCCAAAATAATTTCTAGATGAATTAAATAATTCAGTATTAAAATGCAAACAAGCAAAGGGGGGGGGGAAACTTCAGGAAGTAAGAAATATAGTATAAGTTTTGCCAAGAACACCTTTGAGGTGTTCTTTTGAGGAACAGAGTATGACATGCCTGACTTGCATTAGAAAGGATCACCTGGTTGCAATGTAAAGAGCAGAGCCAGGAGACCTGCTGGAAAGCTATTCTAATAATCCAGGTGAGAGATGACGGGTGCCTGGCCTACAAGGCAGAAGCAGAAATAGAATAGCTGAATTCTGGACACACTTCAGAGAAAGAACAGGATTTGCTGATGGGTGTAGGGTGTGGAGTCCAGGACAACTACAAGGGTTTTAACCTGAGCCAATGAAGGACTGAGCCAATGAAGCCACAATGTGTTACTATGCAATGATTCTAGGGAGCAGGCTTGTGGTTATGAAGTTTCATTTGGGATATGTTACTTTCAGATGCTTTTTAAGAGCCAAATGAACAAAGGGTATATAGATGGGATACAGGAGCCTGGAGTTCAGGGCTTGCAGTTCATGATTTGGGAATTACAAATACATGGTTGTTACTTAAAGCTGTGAAATTAGGTGAGATCCCTCGCAAGAGATTAGAGAGTGTAAAGAGACGAGGCTCCAAGAAAGTCTCTTGTGACACTCTAAAGTTAAAAAGTCAGAGAGATGGAGCAGAACTAATAAGAATTGGGGAATAAATAGCCAGTGAAGGACCAGGGAGTAAAGAAGAATCTTGGAGCCTGGATATCATGCAAAGATAGATTTTTCTAGGAGAGAGGCGACTTGCCCTGATAAGTGCTGGTGACAGATCAAACCAGAAAGAACTAAAAGTTAGTCAGTGGTGACCCTGAAAATAGCAGTGAAGTTTTGGGAGTGGAGAGTGGTACAATTCAACAGAAAGGGAGTAAAAGAACTGGGTAGGAAGTACACACAGATGAATCTCAGAGCCTTCAAACCAGAAACAGCAGCTTTCCCTCTCAGAGGGAGTGTAGTGCGTGATTAGGAATTCGAATGAACTGTACAGGCATGGGGACCACTTTCTACAAGCCGTAGGGCCACAATTCCAGCTCTTTATGACAAATGAATATAGTTCAATTGTGAAATTAAATCAGAGCAGGAAGGATAAGTCTCAGGGTCACTGTCCCTCAAAGTATTTATTGGCTGCAACAAAAGGACTGTAGCAAAACTGAAACTCTAAACAAAGTGGACAAAGTAGCCATTCATAAAATGGTTCATTTATGAAAAAGGCAATTTAACAAACTGGCTGCTCCTTGGCAAACTAGCGTTCGGTATATTAGCCTAGCAATCCCTGGTCCCAGAACAATCTCAATGTGGAACCTGCCACACTATATCCATCTTCACCTCACCTGCTTTCAGAGCCTGTGTTTCTGGTGGAAGAGAATCAAACGTTTGTGATCCTGTGCACATCAGTTTTTCCACTCTCTCAGCTGTAATATCGAGGGGACTAGGAAGCTTCTGACACACCATAGCTGGGGTGAGCTGTTAAGGACTCAAAACTCTGGGCTACTGTTCCTCCAAGAGGCAAGCATACATTGTATGTGTAAGTTCTGAGGCAACAATGAATGCTTATACAAAAAATAGCTGGGCTGAAAAACAATTATTTAATGCATCACATCTCCAAATAGGCGTATGATCTTACAAAGTCGATGGACTCTAAATCCCTGAAGAAAGTGCTATTTTAACAAGGAAAAGATAGATGTTTTAACAATGATTGCTGTGGTATAAGTACGGACTAGAGAACCCTAAGTTCTAAAAATGTCGCACATGGTTTTAGTCTATGTTGTTGTTATGTACCATCGAGTTGCTTGCTACTCATAGTGACCCTATGTACAAGAGCCCTAAATGCCGTTCTATCCTGTGCCAATCTCACTGTCTCAAACACATTCATTCCCACCACTCCACTCACAGAATCGATCCATCTCATCAAAGGTCTTCCTCTCCTGCGCTGTCCCTCCACTCTCCCGAACATGATGTCCCTCTCCAAGGACCAGTGCCAAAAGTATGTCAGATGAAGCTTCAG